GATATATCCTTTGCGAACATTTTAAAGAAAAGATTATGTTGACACGACCCTCCGTTAAGGATTATGATTTTTAAGTAACATGACCGAAATAATGGTCGAAACGCTAAGTTATTTTATTGTTTACGCTTTGCTGCTCAATGTTTGTCATCGATCGAAGAAGTCTACCGCAGCATGAAAAAGGCATATAAAAATAATAATAATAATAATAGGCCTAAATAGAGTTTGTTAATAAAGTTAATTACAACAACATTGATAACACAGTAACATTGATAATACAATAGACGCATAATGCTGTAACACAATTAAAAGTATTGCTTTTTAATAAGCTGCTTCTCTTAGCTTCTTCTTTCCTAGAAAATTTATTTTTCTTGCACTGTGTGGATAAAAGCTGGTGATTAAAAAAATGTTCACAAGTTAGTCCTCAAAGTGGAGCTGTCATTTCTTTTATATTGTTCTATAGCAGACTAATGCGGCTACACTTTTTATTCATCATGATGCTACTTCTGTCTCTTATACACATCTAGATGTGTATAAGAGACAGCCTCTTGTCTTCTCAAACTGTCTTTTAAAGTCTGCCACTGTACTAACTTCAACCGTACTGGCAGGGAGAGCGTTTCATATATTTATAATCCGTTGAGTAAAAAAAAACTTCCGACAATATAATCGAACATATTTCTTTTTCATTTTGTGTTTATGACCCCTATTGGCGCTACATTCTGATTTACTGAAAAGTAATTCACTCTCAATGGTTACTTTATTTGTTAAAATTTTATATGTTTCAATCATATCCTTTATAAGTCGCCTATCTTCCAAAGATGTCAATTTAAAAGCACGTAATCTTTCCTCATAAGTCTTGCCCCGCAAACTCGGTGGTAATTTGGTTGCACGTCTCTGAACTTTTTCTAATAAAATAATATCCTTTTTTAAATATGGAGACCATGCTTGAATTGCAAATTCAAGGTGGGGTCACACTAAACCAATATAGAGTGATCTTATCATAGAAACAGACTTATATTTCATAGATCTTTTGGTAATGCCAAGGATTCTATTGGCAGTTTTAACAGCAACAACACACTGATTACTAACTTTAAGTGAGTTGTCTATGATCTGTCTCTTATACACATCTTGTGTGTGTGTGTGTATATATATATATACATAAATTACGCTGCTGAAATAGTCGTGTTAAATAAATTATGTTCCAAAAATAAAGAATCACTCAAGGAAGCAGTTAAAAAAAGCATTCGGTGGTCAAAAACGTCCCTAAATTAAGGGCGACCAAAGAGCCCAGCTGACATAAGCGGTTTAAATAAGTATTATAACAATTATTCTTTGAAATCTTGGTCATTAAAATTAGGAACATTCAGACCAACGGGCCTTCGGACCAAAGACCATTCGGACCAACGGGCATTCGGACTGAAGGAACTCACCCAACTAAAATTGGCAACTTCGGACCAAAAACCCTTCGGACCAATGGGCCGGACCAAAGATCCTTCGGACCAAAAGTACGCACCCATATAGTTATCTTAATAATTCTATTAATTAACACACAAAATATGCCACTGACGTTTGAAGCTTACATAAAGATGTAAAATAAGAATCTAAATAACAGCCGAAATTATCTTTTCTTGTGAAAACAATGTTGAATATTTCAATAAACTATAATGTCTTACCCTTTTCACAGACGTATGCATTTTTGAAATCACAATGCATATCATTCCATTTTCCTTCAACTGTTAATTTGAGTTCGACACAGTCTTCATTATCATCTAAATTGTTTGGTTGACCCCTGAAAAAATCTATAAGTATAATAGAATCTCATTAATTACATTATTAGCAGTAGCAGGAAAAGCCATTATTTTTTGTCTTTTTTATTCTTCTTGCATATAGTTTTCCTAACTTTTTGGACAGGGTTTTCCTGCCCAGTACTTTGGTCACTTTCAATGCTTGGAACTTTTCCAAACTTTGTCCAAATATAGACCATAACAAAGATGTGACGGGTAAAATTTAGTGCCAACCATTAGTTATTAGAATGGTAACATTAATATAAAGAATATAATTATTTTCTTTTTAGTCAGAGAGCGACTTTATCTCAGACGTTTGTAGACGCTTATTTTTGGTTGATGACATTTTGATCTCCTGGATTTGGCAATATATTTACAATTCAAGGGATTTAAAGGCAAAAACTCCACACCAGATATTTCAAAAACAGGTCACCTGATCTGAATGAAACTTTGGAAAAGTTTAACCAAGTTACCACAAAGAAATTATTTTATGTTTTGTTGACGATCCAGTTTAGAATGTAGATGTGAGGGTTATTTTAATTTCTGACGTCCCAGACCTAAATATCTCAAAAAGAAAACTATCAATTGATCTAAATGACACTTTCCAAAAATAGTTTGTCATGGTCAAATGAAGAAATGATTAAATTTTGGTAACGATCCGGAGTAGGGTCTTGATATGAGGACCATTTAGATAATTTTATTGGACAGGGGATTAAACAGGGAACATTTTCTAAAGCGTTTAAACCAGATGCAGCAGGTTAAACGCAAAACTCACGTGATATACATAAACATTTTTTGCTTTCAATTACTGAATTACTATAAATTAAAAATGCACTGACCTACGCATGACCGGCGTTTGGCCCTTTCGTAAACCCGCCGCGCCAACCCTCAGCCACCGTGCCCAAAATTATGTAATTTCTACCCAGGCGCTAGAATTTTGTAAGCGATCGAGTTTGTGAAAAGAAACTCAATTATGAAGAGTATTTCCTCCATGAACAGAAAGTGTACTGATCACACACAAACCAAATTTCGAGTAACAAATGCGTGTAGTAAAATTTTTCCTTCGCTAAGACAAGGCATACCACAAATAATATAATTTTAGAAGATATTGTAACGAAATTACCCCTCCATTGTAACAGCTCTTTTGAGCAATAGGATTAAATAATGGACAGCCCTAAAATACTTATTGATTCGTCTGTCAGCCGGTTTGTCTGATGGTGTCCCTAAGTGCTCGTCTGAAAATAAAGCCTTCCCTTCTCACTTGCCAGCCAGCACTAATGCGCTTCTGGGGGTGGGGGCTGCGACTTTTCTTTTTTTTCGTACGAAACATTTGCATGAAACTCCACGCGGGTCGTATCGGAATGACTTGAGTTCGATACGACACTAAGTTTAAATTATTAGGAACAAGAGCAGGCACTTCGCAATGTCGGGACGCTCGAGTATCTAATATTACCGTACTGTTCTTTCTATATGTTTACCTACGGAGGCCAGTGAAATCTTACAGATTTATGGGATGTAGGCCTACATCTGTAACTAACTGTGAGCTTCTTGTATGTTTGGAGCATGAAATTAAACAGTACGTAAGAAAAATATTATTAAATAATAATAAATTAAATATATCAGGCCATTAATTAATGAACATGGCCAAGCCTTGTAATGTAATAAATAATAATAATAATAATAATAATAATAATAATAATAATAATAATAATAATAATAATAATAATAATAATAATAATTTGAAAATATTAACTGTCACTATGTTTTATTTGATCAAGATGTGATATTCTTTTCCTTCATCTTTGTGCTTTCCTTTGAAAGTGGCCTTCTAAAACTGTTTTGAGTAGTAATCGATCACATTCTCTTACTACATCTATTAATCCAGAACTCTCTGCCAATTCGTTATAATTTTCAGTCGTTCAAGACCTAGAACTTATTAATCCAAGGCCTATCTAAAAAAATAAAAATGTTCACATTATGTAACTTACTATCAAATAACACTTTAATACTCGTGCAGCTCAATCAAATATTACCTTTGCCATTTTAAACGGCCCATTAGTTATTAGAATGGTAACATTAATATAAAGAATATGATTATTTTCTTTTTAGTCAGACAGCGACTTTATTTACGTTTGTAGACGCTTATTTTTGGTTGATGACCTTTTGATCTCCTGAATTTGGCAATATATTTTCGAGTCGAGTCAACCGAGACTTCCCGAGTGGAGTTCCATGCAAATGTTTCGTACTGAAAAAAATCGCTTCCGGGTGTCCTGGCCTTTCAGGTTGAAGAGGAGTTGGCCATAAATGTGGTAAAGGTCATCGATCTGTTCATCGTCCGTTTTTGTTTTCTTATTGAAATTGCCTCCATGATTTTGCTTTTGTCCCGTTGATTCCGTTTTTATCCTTCTGGAGTCGTTCCAGTTCAGGACTTACTTGCAAGTTTTACACTTTATAGCTGACATGTCAAACAAAATATATGCAATGTATTGGTGTTAAAATGGAAATATTTTTGAAATAGAATTGGGGATTTGGTTAGTTAGTACATATAAAACGCTGTACACCTTTACTGTAATTGTACTACTTTAATTATTCATCATATGGCTATTGTTTCTGCCTACGGTAATACGGTAAACTTATTCTTTAAATGGTCCTCATATCCACACCTTACTTCGGATCGTGACCAAAGTTGACACACTTCTTTTTTTTTTTATTAAAACATGACAAACTATTCTGCCAATTGTCATTTTCATTCGATGATCTTTTTTTTTTCCCCCGAGACATTTTGGTCTGGGACCTTTTGGCCCTTAAATGCACAGCCGAACTTGGATCGTCACCAAAATGTTATAATTTCTTCCTTGTACTTTGGTTAAGCTCTCACGAAAATTTCATTCATATCAGTTCATAGTTTTTGAAATATCTGGTATGGGACATTTTCTTTAAATGGTCCTCACATCCACACCCTACTCCGCATGTTCACCAAAATTTAAACATTTCTTCATCGAAATATGACAAACTATTCTGGGTAGTGTCATTTAGAGCCATTGATTATTTTTTGAGATATTTAGGTCTTGGACCTTAGGATTTTGAATGACCCTCAAATGTACACTCGAATTTGGATCGTTACCAACACTTTATTATTTCTTCCTTGTAAGTTGCTTAAACTTTCACGAAAGTTTCATTCAGATAGGTTGATTATTTTCTGAAAGGGCAAAATATCTTACTAATTAAACAATGCATCCCTTTAACATGTATAACTGAAATCAGAACAAAAAGTTGTCCTAGAATGAAAGATTTCATGGCTCTAGACAGTACACAGATAATATTATGCTCATTTGAAATCAATATTAACACAACTTTATTGCGCAGTTCTGGCACTTGGGCCATTTTTGGTAGTGGGGGGGGGGGCAATATCTTACTAATTAAACAGTGTATCCCTTAACGAACTGCATGCCTGAAATACGCACAAAAAGTTGTTTTAGAATTATAAGTTTCAAGGGTGTAGGCGGATTGTTTTTAATATTATCGTTATCAAAAAATTAATGTTGTCACATTAGGTACTGATATTCACAAATGGAAAAATATACCCCTTTATAAATCGTTTTTTAGACATGAAGTGATAAAGACACCAAACTGATATTTAGGATGTATGATCATCATATATAAATTTATTCATGGTGCGAGTTTTAACGACAAGGGTACTTGCCCACAGGGTCGAAGGTCACCATGAAAACTAGGAATGTTTGAGCATTTTTTGTCCCGAATGACTTTTTGACCTATTACCCCCTAAAATGATGAAGTGAAGTGAAAAATCCAGATTTTTTTGTAGTGAAACTTTTCCAACTTTATATTATTAATATGTTGCATAAGACCCATTTAATAATTGATTGGGTATTTTAATAGGGTCTAAAAATGGAAGAAAAATTACGCAAAAAAATAAGTTATGGTCTTTACGAACCAATATTTTCGTAACGGGGTGTGATATACCAAACGTCATGTCATATTAGTGTTCTACACACCCACACGCACACACGCACATTGAAAACATCCAGGCGGAGATATTATTATTATTATTATTATTATTATTATTATTATTATTATTATTATTATTATTTTATAATAATAATAATAATAATATTATTATTATTATTATTATTATTATTATTGTTATTATTATTATTATTATTATTATTAATTTTATTATGTCCGTTATGTATTTACTGTTGCCTGTTAGCAAGATTACACAAAAACTAAGGAATGGATTATCATAATATTTAGTGGAATAATACATAATAATGTAAGAAAGAGAAGAAGATTAGATTTTGGGAAGAAGTCAAAGGACAAATTCAAGGTTATTATTATCTTTTCATATTAGGTTACAGAGTGAATTCTAATTATAAGACAAGACAATTTCGAATCAATTCTGACCTCTCACTGGTTAGACGTCTTATAGTACTCACTTGTGTAGGAAGGCTCTGTGTCCGTCGAAATCCATTTCATTGTACCCTCCAATTCCATATCTGTCATGCCAAGCCACATCCTTCTATTAAACGTCTTGTAAAGAAAATTGTTCTCTGCAGAATTGTTCACCACGACCAAATGTGCCCGAATAGAGTGACACGAACGTCTGGCTGTATGCCACGTTGATTCGTGGGTATATAATTTATAACAGCTTCCTTGAAAATATAACCATCCTTCCTCACATACACAACCGGAACCTAAATATTTGGTAAGAAAATGAAAAGTACATATTCACTTATACATACCATTTTACAGATGGTCATAAAACTAAAAGAAAATTGTATTCAAATTTATGTCCTAAAGTGCATTTTTCGACCATCTAGACGTTCCATAGCTATTCGTGTTGTACCTCAGCTTCTGTGCGTGGCACTGCGTGTAAGGTATTGGACATCTGAGACCGGCTCACTGCGTGTGCCTTGGCCAAGTTAGGCCTACCTTAAAGTAGGCCTAACTTGTAGTAGGCACCCAGGAGTACAAATGAGTACCCGGTAGGATGTTATGGCATTGGTATTAGTTGGGCATGATCAAAGCAGTAACTAAAAATTCTCCCTCCCCCACCCCCAACCGATGTTAAAATCAAAGTGGTAATTGAGTATGCGAAAAATACGGTAACAACAAATGAACAACACACCCTATTTATATATACCGTGTATGCTCGCGTATAAGACGAGGCTTAAAACAGCAAATTACAATCTTAAAACAGAGGGTCGTCTTATACACACGACATACAAAATATTTCAAATCATGTTTGTCTTATGTGCGGATCGTCTGCAATGAAACTGCAAAATATCAATATGAATGAACGGAATTTTAAATACGAGGATGAACATTTAAAAGCTCAATAGGCCCTACCGCCCGGTATTACTTAGGAAGATTAGCCTTGCATTTTGTTCCGTTTTTAGGCAGCCAGATACAGTATCATGACCATAAAAAGCAGAAAAGTTTGGGAATTCTGGCCCTGAAAGAGGCTTTGTAATATGATATCTTTATTTGAATCTACACTTTTAAAACAGTGGCACGCGAGAACGGTGCGTTCACAAAAATTGAACATTAACAAATATATACAAAATATACATAAAAGTAACCGACAAAACAAAGGATATGGTAAAATTAAACCAAAACAGGCCTTCGGCGGATGCAGGGGTATGCAGAGGGTGCGATCGTACCCCACCCCCTAAATAAATGTTATATTATATTGTTGATATGAATTATTGGTAAAATTTTTAAGATGCATGCGAATGCAATTTTCGGGCACCCAGAGATCCATATTCTCAAAATGTTCGAACCTCAGCCCCAACCATGGGTGGTGGACTTCCGACGGGGGGAGGTGAAGGGGGGCCGATGTCCCCGACGAGAGGGGAAAATTTCCCCGACGAAAGTGGGCGTGGTCGAACCTCGGCTTAAATGACCGAAAGTGGTCTAGGTGGTGAAGCCATCTGAAATTTTAACAATTTAGGGGTTTCAATTATCAAAGACTTATTTAATCGATTTTAGAGTTTACTAATATGTACAAAATACTTATAATTTTGTTTTCCCCCCAACGAATTGTGGTTTCTCTCCCCGACGAGGGGGGCCTGCCACCCCCCCCCCGCTGGTGCAACCCCTGTTTAATGGCAGACAAATGTCTGCCATTAAATCTTTTGTGTTATTTCTAAAATGCGTTGTATTTTTTGTCAACTTACGTCCATTTGGTTCTATTATCAAGGAATTTTAGTTCAAGAAGATTACCAGTTTCTTTATTAAGGAAATATGAAAAGATTACTCTTCGTTTGAACAAAGCCGAATTGGATTTTAATTTTTTACATAATAATAATAGTGTAGTTTTATATAGCGCACATATCCATCTAATGTAAGATGCTCAGGGTGCTTGTTATGTGGACTAGAAACTCGATCAATGACTTTCTTCGTCCCTAAGGGTCCCTTCGTGCCTGTGCTACCTGGTAACCCGGTACCAGCAACTCTCGTCGTTCACCACGGGGGCTGTCTGTTCCAGTACACCGGGGTATCCTTCTACTCGTCTCGAAAGGTGTACTGGGTTCTTTATAGTGCACACCATTATATTGGTGATAGATGAATTTTATTTTATGAAAGTGTCATTTTCGGCCATCTACTATCTAGGTATTATTTCCTAAAATATTTGCAAGCATCACCTACCGCCAAATCCTGCACATTTTATAACTTACAATGATTTTTAAACACAAAAGTCCATGAAACAGCAAGAGAAGTATTGACAAATTGTTTTAAAACACGTTTTGCTACACAGAGAACATGTTTTGGCATATTTTGACGAACTGTGAAAAATAAGAAATATCAAATTATAAGTGCCTCCTTCACCAACTTTTTGAAAAACACAGGACGGTAAACAAGGATTTTTTGTTACTTGGCCTTGGTTATGTGACTAAAATGAAAGAAATACAGAAAAACGACCTGTATCTTTCATTTGAGACGTGACTCAGAGCTGCAATGCGCAGTGTGGGAACATTGTTTATTACTAAAGCTGTTATTCAGGGAGTTATATGTATATTAGGCAACCGTTCTCAATGCATTCCTGGGATGCTTTAATCTATTTTATGTATATATCTACTGTATCCAGTATTAGAGTATACATTTCATGTGTATCTGCTGTATCTAGATAAACCGTATTCCATTTTCAGAGTACAAGAGTGTCATTTCCAGGCATCTAGAACTGCCATGTCCTTATTTCTTTTTATACTTGGTCTCGACCTTGGTGCAGCTGAAGTGGGTGTTGGGACACCTTGTACCTTACCCTTTACTTTTTTCACAATTTCGCAAAAAAAAAAAAAGTGATCTAAGCCTACTTAAAATTGAACGAAGTTAAAAAGTAAAAATATAAGATACAATTATTTTAACTCTAACAGTGCTCTTTCAGGACATTTAAATTTGACATTGTACCTCTAAACTGTTTATTCTCCCCCGAGACCCATCAACCATGTAATATTTCTTAAGTCTAAGAATGCTATTTCCGGGCATTTAGAGCTTCTTTATCCTTAATATTTGTTCGCACCCTAGTCCCAACCATGGTGGGGCTGATGGATGATGTCACTTCCACCTCAGATCCCCAATTTCACAAACACGTATTTGATATACTTAACATTAAACGACACAGTATCAAATTAAGACACTCTAAAATAAATATCGGAGTGCAATTTTGTGGGCATTTGGTGTTGTAACATCGATTTCTTTTCCGCCTCAGTGCCAACCATGGTGTGGGTTAAACGCTTAGTACTCCACCGTCCCTAGTTTCACCATAGATGCATGAAAAGTTGTTTGACCACTTAACATTGAACAACATAGTATGAAATCAAGTAAATATAAAATAAATATTTTAAGTCTGAGAGTGCAATTTCAGGGCATGTTAGTGTTGTTACATCATGGATTTTTCCGCCTCAGTCCCAACCATGATTGGGGTTAAACGCTCGTTACTCAACCCTCTTTATTTTCCCCATAAATGGACGAAAAGTCATTTGATCTACTTAACATTACACAACATAATATAAAATTGGGTCACATAAAATAAATATTTGAAGTCTGAGAATGCAATTTCTGGGCATTTAGTGTTGTTACATCATTGATATCTTGTTGTCTTAGCCACAACCATGGTGGGGCTGAGGGGTGTTGCCTCTCTTGAAATTTGCCATTCCTTCCTACTATTTTAACAAAACAAAACAAAAGATGTTTGATGTATTTTTAAGAGAACTCCGTGTATAATTTACCGACAATGAATATAAATCACAGCTGATCTAGCGATAGGCCACTAGAACATGTTAATGAATAGAGTAAATAATAATTTCCTACTGTTAATTAAAAAAAAAAAAAAAAAAAAAACAGAAAAAAACCCCAAATATTTTGTGTGCGTGTCGCTCGAAGATACTTATTGTTTGCTTAAGATAAAATTTGGTTCATGCTAGAGGCTTTATAATATATAAATATAATTTTATGGTCGAGCCACATTTTTTTCTCAGGCCTTTTTACAGTTTACACAATATTTATGAACCACGGGTGGCGCCAGGATTTGCCCGACGGGGTGGGGGGTGAGGTCCCTGACGAGGGGGCCGATGCCCCGACGAGGTGCCAGATTTCCCCGACGAAAGCAAATTGGGCGTGGTCGAGCTTCGATTAAAAGGTATAAAAAGTGGTCCTGTGGGCGAAGCCCCCGAAAATTTTAAAAATTTAAGGGTTTCAAAGACTTATTCAATCGATTTTATAGTCTAATAATATGTAGAAAATACATATATATTTTTTTTTCTCCCCGACGAATTGTGCTTTTTCTCCCCGACGGGCGCGACACCCCAGGTATGATCATTAGGTGAGCGCACTACCGTAATAACTTAGTTTCAGATACTTACCGAATTCATCAGGGAGTAACGACGCATCACGACCAATTGTAGAAGTAGAAGTAATACAAAACATGTGAACAAAGAGCATGGACCAGACAGCAGATAACATGTTGAACAATCAAGTTACAGCAGCCACACTGATGATGCTACATCGATATTTGTATTTTTATGCAAATTATTGGAAGGGACGTATTTTAATATTACCAACTTCTGAGAAAACTGACGTACCCATTTACGATCATACAAACTTCCTATTACATACCACACATAGCCCTGGAAACCTTGGAAACCTTGAATTTCTAAGACTCGCACCAGTTTCTCTGTGACTAAAATTTAAAAAGCAATCTCTCTTTAAATCACGTATTTTTTTTCCATAGGCTTAACTTTAATTACTTGCCTGAACCGAAGTTAGTTGGGTGAGGGGCGCTCCCCTGGCCTCTTTTTTAAGGGCTCATGAGAATTGTAGCGTATTGACACGGTAGATGTGGTACTACCCTCTATCGTAAATAAACAGTCACTCGACAAATATTGTTCTCTATCCAAAATTGCAGTCTGCGTACGAGCCATGTTCGCCATATTGTATTAGGAAGGAGTCATACTGAATACAAAATGTACTAAATTTGGATCCTTATTTGCAGTGGGTATCTCCGCTGCTGTTGTTGGCCCGGGACTATTCCATCACCAACTGTGCTATACGGTTCATTTCGTTCTTCTGATGACTCGGAGTTTGGTTTGCAGGATGAATAGGCCTAGTTGCGGCGTGACCACTGCTTGGGTATTTACCCAAGATCTTGGGTATTTTGACTTGGTCTTGGGTCCTTGGATATTCCGTTCAAATCCTTGGGTATTTTATTTTTACTAAGAAAATTAAATATTTTTGTCATAGAGGAAGAATTAAGAAGTAACAAAGTATATTTCAGTCCAGTCAAGTAAGCAAAACTCAACGAAGTGCACATAACATTGTTAATTGACTGTTAATTGCTATAAACATGGGTTCAGAATTGTTTATTTGTGATTTGCGTTGCCATTGTTCTTACCTAATTAATGCATTACATAATAAAACTTGATCACTGATCTACTGATAACACTGGCCGACTGAGGGCGTTTTTTTCTATCCGTATTATCACCTCATGAATATTAATTTAAATAATTAACACAAACAATTACAATAAAAAGTGGTTTATAAATTGAACTAAAAGGGGAACTATACATGCAAAAAACACGTATTTTTAAAATTTTAATGCATTTTCAGGAAGCTTTTTGGGCAATTTTTACTGAATCTTGCGTAATATCGACCCAGTCATTGGGTATATCAAAAATTGTGAGTGGTCACGCTGCCTAGTTGGTTCAGTGTCAATGTCGATGGGTTGCACAATATCCGGTGTGTAGGACAGAATTTACCACAAGTGTATAAATGTTATACACTTTGCCAACATTAAGTCCAATGTACAGGATATCTTTCAACCAAGTGCACAATGGGATGAATAGTGACTTGATTTTTTTATGTGTTAATCACTTTAAAATCCATGGCATTTATGCATATTGTAAATAACAACCCTTTAATTCGAAGTATAGGCTAATACCAAACCCATTGTGTGTGGAAAATAGATTAAAGCTAGGTTCCGCATGACATTTATTTATTTATTTATTTTTTTTTTTTTGGATATGTTAAACTGATTTTTTTTAATACACAAAAAAGGGTGTTCGACAAAAAAAAAAAAAAAAAAAAAAACCCTTGGGAAGGGTAATGAGATACAGATTTTTGAATATTAAAAACGGGTTTTTAAATATTCAAAAATGTATATATCATCCCTTTAATGTCTTAGAAACTTGTATGTGCATTAATTACATCCGAGTTACATCAGAAAAGCGATTCACGTTTTTCATTGCCAAATTTAACAGTACACAATGTAAAAGGATGCTAAGATTATCAATATTCATAGGGGTGGGGGGATATTTGTGGCCTGAGAAAGATCTTTAGAATACGATATAAACCAAACACGCCTTACCGTAATTTTTAGACACATTATGGTGTGCTTGGTTTATGTGTAGTAGAGCATATGAAATTGCTTGGTGTCATAATTCAATGTACTTTGAAGTGGGATCTTAACACCCAAGATTATTGTGTCACAGCCATCAAGAAGACTGTTATGACAAATGCTCATTTAGATAGCCTCATGATGGTTTGAATACATCGTGATAGGTGAAGCAACCTCGACCATGAAAGCGTGGTTGACAGATTTCATGCAAAATTGTTTATTGTTTCATTCAAAATGTTTTGGTTTTGGAAGCTGATTTCAACATTAGAAACCATAGCCTACATGATATCATATTAGAGTAACTCGATGCCTATCCAATAAGTAATAAAATTTCGCAATAATTCATCAAATATCCGTGGCTTCCAGGGGCCTTCTCCCCCTAGACCCTCACCGGGGGCCCTGGGCGGCCCCCCTGGGCTCCACCCAAGTGAAACTCAATTCGCTCCACTACCCCCCCCCCTCCGTCGGGCAGGGCCTGGCGTCACCACCGGTCAAAAACATTCGGACCAGGACGAGGACGCAATCTACAATTAATTCGAAATCCCTTTACAAAAGGACTGCTGTTTATGCAAACTCCTTTTCCCCGCACCATTGAAGACTGCAATCTCCTCGCCCAATACAGTCGTCTACCATAAAACTCTGACTCCTTCAAATTAGCACTCCCACACCAAAGTAACGAGCATCCAGTTTAGACCGACCACTCTTTCCACGCCTTCTGTATAAATCCCTCACTCGGATATTAGGAGGATAACCAAATGACAAGAAAAAGAGATCATAGGCAAAAATAAACAAACTGTTACTCAGGTCTTTATTTTTCCTTTCACACCGAAACCATGTCAGTCGGGAGCCCGCCAAAAACAGGTCACGTGAATAAAACTCACTGATGTTGACCTCTAGTCAGGTCAACATAAACATTATCATAACCAACCAAGTACCAAGTAGGTAAAAACAGGCCAATGAATTGATGGAGAGGCCAATGAATTGATGATTTTATTTTTAAATATCGTAAAACCTCGAATTGTCCACGGGCTTCTTTTCGAGATAAGCTTCTTTTGCTTTTCGAGGCTAGTCTTGCAAACTAAAGAGGGGCTTCAATTCGAGATGGGCTTCTTCTTAAGACTATTGGGCTTCAATTCGAGGTTTTACGGTAGTTTACCAGATAGTAACCAGTATGGCAAACGAAATACATAAAAAAATTAATTGCCCTTAAGAATCATTTAAAGCAAAAACTGTTGAAATCACTACTTTAAGCAATAGTTCATGAAATTCTTTTTACATTTGTACAAGTTGTTCTAACTGTTTTAGATTATTGTTGTTCATCATTGAAAAGCTTGAGAACAGGGTGGCGGGGGGACCAGCCTCCCGGTCGGGGAGAAAAAAAAAAAAAAGTTAGTAGACCCGCCCTAAAATCAACTAAACAAGCCTTTGGATCCACTAAATTGCTTTATTTTTCAGATTGGCTCAAGCTCAAGTATTGGCTCAAGCTCGTTTCGCTTATGGCATTTGGTTGTCGGGAGGAAGTTGTATTGTATGTTCTTCGATATTATCGGTGGAAGTTTCCAGCCTCAATGTATGACGAATTCCCGCCACATGTTAGATTATACAGGTTTGCGGTTCATATTCTCGAATTTCCTTATGTGAAAGCATCTGGAAAATCTGGAATTCTCTTCCTCAAGTGACATCCGTTCCCAAACCAACCTTGTTTCTTTTAAAACTACAGTTTTAATTACTGGGGTCCGGGGGTAGAGCACATTCCCTTCGGTATATGGCCCTGCAATACTTTGTAGGTCTTTTTTTTAAATAGTATATTTTTATTTTTAAAAAAAAGTCACCTTTATCTACAAAACATAGATCTTTGGGGTGAATATCTGATGAATATTTAAAAATATTCATCAGAGAATAATTATTTCGTCATTAGCAAACTTGCACACATGACTCTCATTCATACAGTGGTGCGATCATTGTGACCACTGCTAGGGATCTATCTCAATGTCTGCGATTTTAATGACACCTTGGGATCTTGTTGTAGAGGTTGTGTCGTTTCATAGGCCAAGCAAAGCACACAGTTCCGAAATAATAGAGCTGGAGTCGTCCTATACGTGTTCAACTTCAATTTATTAACACCCATCAAAGCGTCCAGTAAATCTACAAAACATCAGGCAAACAGCCATTATAGTATCGTAGCACATTACAGTATTGTAATATTTAACGAAATGTTAAGCTAGTCATCCTAGATAGGCCTACCGGTAACACGACCGTGCACGCATACGCTACATTACACAAAATAGCGTGCGCTTATTTGTCCTAGGCCTACACGTACTCAAACATAAACAGCCTAAATCTCGGTTTTCACTATAAAAACACCACTATAATTACATCATAATAATTCCTCGATACCTCCTTTACCAAACATAATCATACTGTATTGTTAAAATGTAAGTCAACATCAAATAATAATCATTTACTTTCAGTTAATAAAATCCACAACCTTACCTACAAAACATCAGGCAAACAGCATCGTACCATACGCGACGCTGACCGTACGCAGGAGCAAGGTTGCCTAGGAACCT